AAGGCGTAACTCTTTCGCCGATTGCTTCCAAAAGCGTAACCGAATCGCCGTTAAATCGTTTGATCGCGTCGCCGTAGAGCTGTAAAACGCCGAAAACTTTTCCCTCATAAATCAATGGAACGGCGACCGCACAACTCAATTCTTCTAAAACGGCTTCGGGAAAAACATTTTTCTCCAGAAGCAGATTTCCGTCGATCTGCGGTTTCCGCGTCAAAAACGCTTTTCCTGCGTTTCCTTTGAGCGTGTTTATTTCGAGATGGCGAAAAAGCTGGGCGTTTTTGCCGTCGGCAAATTCGACCTTCAATCTTTCCGCGCCATCGACGGCGAGAAACAAAATGCACGTCAGATTCGGAATTAATTCGTTCACGCGGCTTGCGACCAGCCGAAACATATCGCCCGGCTTGATCGATGCACCGAATAGATCGTTGGCTTCTTCCAAAGCTTTGAGACGATTTTCGACTTCGTTCGTGAAAAGCTCCCGTTTTTCCTCATTTTCGATAATAATCGCAATCTCTTCGGCTTTCTTCACCTGTCTGCCATAGATCAACGCGACCGTTGCCAAATATAAAACTACAATTCCCGAAAAAACGATCGCTTTTGAAGCAATATTTAGCTCCAATCCGCTTAATAAAAAGGTAAAAACAAGCGCAAACAGGGAGATAAGTGTCAAGGAAAGTTGATTCATTCCAAAATTGACGCGTTTTAGCTCGGAAGATAATAAAATTTTCGGGTTTGACATAGAAGATTTAAGGATTTTTGAGGGCGGTTTGAGAAACATTTCTCAATATCTAAAGATAACTTTTTCAGGCTTTCCAAGTCAATATATAATTGTCGCCGATTGATTCATCCGTCATTAAATGATTTACGCCTAAACCATTGCCATTTATTTTTTATAAAATGTCCGTTTTTTACCCTGTCTTGAGTTGACTAACTGAAATTAGAAATTTATATTGTCCAATGTTCCAAAAATTAATCATTTGGAACAAAACCGTAATTTTTACGGAGTTTAAGTAAATATAATTAATCTTTGAAGAAGACAGGAGAACTTTATTAAAATGAAAAAGACTTTAGTTTTATCAGCAGTTTTAGCACTCGGTGCTATAGGTATGGCTTGCGGTGACGCGACTAATACAGCAGGAAATGCAACAAATTCGGCTAAAAACGCAGCTAACAGCGCAGCTAATGCCGCTAACACCGCCGCGAATATGGCGGGTAATGCTGCAAATATGGCAGCTAACGCCGCGAATATGGCAGCCAATGCCGCTAACACTGCAGTAAATGCCGCCAATTCCGCTAACGCCGCCGCTAACAAAATGAGTAATACGGCAACGACCGGAACGACTGCAAATGCTAATGCGGCAAACAAAACAGCTAACGACAAATAGTTTTTAATAAACTTTATGTAAAAAGCACGCAATCTTCGGGACGCGTGCTTTTTTGTGTTTTACCAAAGCCGAATTGCCTGATTTGGTTTTAAATGCGCCGCAAAACTGTTTTAATTAAACGAGTTTCACGAAATATTAAATTTCAGATAAACACTGATTTTATCGTTTCGGGCAAGTTGCCGAAATATTACGATTTTGAGTTTGTGAAATTTTTTTCAATATTTTTTCAAAAACGCGATTAATTGGTGTATCTTGAGTTGACTAACTGAAATTAGAAATTTATATTGTCCAATGTTCCAAAAATTAATCATTTGGAACAAAACCGTAATTTTTACGGAGTTTAAGTAAATATAATTAATCTTTGAAGAAGACAGGAGAACTTTATTAAAATGAAAAAGACTTTAGTTTTATCAGCAGTTTTAGCACTCGGTGCTATGGGTATGGCTTGCGAAAGCGCGCCTGCAAATAACGCAGTGGGTAACAAACCTGCTAACATGACAAACACGACTTCGAGCCCGGCTTCGACGACCACAACAACTTCGAGCCCGGCTTCGACGACCACAACGACTTCGAGCCCGGCTTCGACCACAACCACCAGCTCGAATGGCAATACATCTTCGACTATGACCAAACCGACCAATACAATGCCGGCAAACGCAAATTCAAACGCAAATGCAATGTCGACAAACAAAATGGCAGAAAACAAATAGTCAGAAGCCGATTTGAAAAAAATCGAAAGCACTTTATCTTCGGATAAAGTGCTTTTTTAATTTTCCCTTTTTACAGATTGCCGATCATTCAAAAATCCCGCAATCTTTGAAACTCTCAACGCATTCTGATATATTATTGCCGTAAAAACTTAGCATTTTTATGACTCCGCGCTGTATCGCAAAACTTTGCCCGAACGTTTCACGCCCGAATCTTTTCGGCGGTGATTAATTTTTCTTTTCTCAAAAACTGCAACTTTCAAGCCGACTTTTTTAGATTTCGGCATCGTTTTCAATTTTTACATTTTATTTTGAGGAAATATTTATGACACCGACCACAGATTTACAAAGACCGATCATTAGAACCGAACTTCCCGGACCGAAGGCAAAAGAGATCATCGAAGCCGACGCAAAATACGTCACGCCGAGCTATCCGCGCCCTGATTATAAGCTCGTCGCCGAAAAAGGCTACGGCGTTTGGATCGAAGACCCCGACGGCAACGTTTTTCTCGACTGCAATGCGGGTGTTGCCGTTTGTTCTACGGGACATTGCCATCCCGAAATCGTCGAAGCGATCATCAAACAAACGCAAACCCTGATTCATCTTTGCGGAAC